CTTCCTTCCTTCCTTCCTTCCTTCCTTCCTTCCTTCCTCCCTTCCTCCCTTCCTCCCTTCCTCCCTTCCTCCCTTCCTTCCCTTTTTTCTGAGATGGAGTCTTGTTCTGTCGCCAGGCTGGAGTGCAGTAGCACAATCTCAGCTCACTGCAAGCTCCGCCTCCCAGGTTCACGCCATTCTCCTGCCTTAGCCTCCCGAGTAGCTGGGACTACAGGCACGTGCCACCATGCCCAGCAAATTTTTTGTATTTTTAGTAGAGACGGAGTTTCACCATGTTGACCAGGATGGTCTCGATCTCTTTACCTTGTGATCCGCCCGCCTTGGCCTCCCAAAGTGCTGGGATTACAGGCGTGAGCCACTGCGCCCAGACCTCAAGTTTCTTTCTACCTGTCATTGTCTTTTTCTCTTCTGAGCTGACATCAACATATTGTGAGAAGCTTTAGGCGAAGGCAACTTTTAGCTGTTCTGAAACATATAGAAATGTAAGACCATTTCATTTCGATGTATGCCAGGCAGCTACTTCATCTGGGCAGGACTATGAGGGGAGGGAGAACTAGTTCAATCCGGAATGAGGCAGTCACCCTCTCCTGAATTCCCCCCAGTCCCATTCCACATTTGCAACCTCGAGCAGATGGTCAGGATACCAAGAAGGATCAGGTTGGAGAATATGAAAGACTCTATGCAGTTCATCCCCTAAACCCCTCACTGAAAGAGCTTCCTTGGAGGGTAGGCATTAAACATGCAGGCAGCAGAGCTTTGTGGTTGAGGGCTTTGGAGCCAAGGCCACCTGAGTTCTCTCCTGGCCCCACCACTTGCTAAACGTGTGACCCCGGCAAAGTTACCTAACTCCTCAGTGTTCTCCTCTGTGGGACTGGAATGGCGGTAATACCTGTTGAAGAGGATCGTTGTGAGGATTAAAATGAGTCCATCTGCGTAGCACACCTAGAATCATGCCTGGCACCGGGCATAGGCTCAATACATGTACCCATTCTCGGGAGGAATCGTATCCTCATTATGTCAGCTAGAAGAGAATTGAGGGAACGTCTTTCTTACAGATGTCCACTTAGCAGGTTTTTGTTTGTTTGGTTTGTTTTCTTGTTTGTTTGTTTTTAAACAGAGTTTCACTCTTGTCACCCAGGCTGGTGTGCAGTAGCATGATATTGGCTCACTGCAACCTCTGCCTTCCGGGTTCAGGCGATTCTCCTGCCTCAGCCTCCCGAGTAGCTGGGGCTACAGGCATGCACCACCATGCCCGGCTAATTTTGTATTTTTAGTAGAGGCGGGGGTTTCACCATGTTGGCCAGACTGGTCTTGAACTCCTGACCTCAGGTGATCCTCCCACCTTGGCCTCTCAAAGTGCCAGGCTTATAGGCATCAGCCACTGCTCCCAGCCCACTCAGCAGTTGTGAAAGGAGCCCATACGATTCCTGGTCCTATTTTACCCTTTTCCCCCACATCTTTAAAAACCAGCTCTAAGAGAAGCCCCTGCTAAAGCTTTCATTCTCTTCATTGCGAATGGGACCCTTTGGCATTCATAAGTAAGAGCTGTGAGCAGGTCAGGCAGGGCAGCCCTTGAAGCTGGTGCAGCCACGACCACCTTCATGTGCTCCTCAAAGATGGACTCTCAGACTGCTTGCAATGTCGTCATCCCACTCCTCTCCGAATCTTCCTCATGCAGTCCCCCCTTCCCTTTTATGGATCCAATGCTGTGGGTCAGGTTTGACAATGGACATAGGTATATGAGAAATGAGAGCTTCCCTTCACCACCCGCCAATCCCTTCTCTTCTCCCAAGAAGGGCGTGTCCCTCCAGCTGGGGTACAATGCAAGGGCATTTGGCTTGAAGCGGGGTTGGAGGTTGGACAAATACCGGGAGTTGATGTGGATGGAGATGGCAGTATGGTCACTTCCTCCTGCCTTCTCCTTCCAGGTGCGCCCAGACACTCTTCTCACGTCTGTTTCTTGCAATAATTCCCTGTGTTTTGTCTGTTCATCTAGGGAAAGAAGAAGAAGAGGAAAAGGGACAAGCAGCCGGGAGAGACCAATGGTAAGTGACAATCATCAGGTTAGAGGAAGAAGCCGTAGCCTGAGGACCACCCTTTTATGTTAGGTTTCCATCTGGGGGAGGCAGGAGAAATTCAAGGCCAGGACATTGTGGGGGAACCCTTCTTAGCCAGCCTTTTTGTTTATGCATTTTAATTAATTGCTTCATGACTGCCCTTTTAAAGCTAGTAACATCCATTGTTGCATGAAAAGCACATTGTAATTCTAGTGGAATGTGTTTTAAAATAACTGCAAAGCCTATAACTGGAGAGCAAGCGGTAGGCATGCCTATGCCGGGATTTATACAGTCTGCTTATTTTGTATGTGCCTGAGAAGGAATGAGGAGGGGGCGGGGCTTAGGGGAGTAGGAGGGGGTGTGTGTGAGTGTTTGATATTAACTGGGCTGTTCCTGAATGTTCTGATGCATGCCTTTACAGTGGTAAATTACACCCATTTTAAATTAAGGAGGTTTGTCATTCTCTAGAAGAAATTAGAAATACTGCATAGGCAATCTCAGAGGTCCCTTGGAGAAGGCCAGGCTTTTACAAACAAACAAAACAAAAATTTTGAAGGCTTTGTATAATTTGTTCTTTTTTTTCAGAACACAGCGAATGTTTCCTAAATCCTTGCCTTTCACTTCCTCCGATTACAGGTGCTAATGTCATTTTGAGTCATTAAAATAGTTGATAAACTGTTTTTTAATTTTTCTTGCCATTATAGTTTTATTAACATTTAAACACGTATGACATTTGAACTTTCTATAAAGTGACCATCAACACGGTTTCGTATGTTTCGGTAGATTTTTTTTTTTTCAGTTGCTTCTGTTTTTTTTTTTTTTTTTTAATTTAATTTAACCTTTGTTTTGTTTATTTATTTATTTTTTCCCATAACAGTTGTTTAAGCAGTGATGACAGTGATTTAGAGTTGAACTAACTGTGCAAATTGAATATGCAGTATTTCTTTAAAAGAGACTGGTTAAAAAAAAATGGAAGGAATTCAGTAATAAACCTCCTTAATCTAATGGCATTTTTTTCATTGCTCCCACTAAGTTTTCTCACGCAAGCATGCATCCGCAGTATGATTATTTTTTCCTTTGCTTTTTTTTATTTTAGTTTTTTTCTTCCTTTTGCTTTTCTGCTCATAATTTGCAAATCCACTAGCATTTTACTGACTGTGCCTGCTTAAATGCCGCTATGAGCTTCTAACTAACTCCTAACAGCTCATTCACACAGCCTGTTTACCTTTATCTGTTCCTCTCTTAATAATTAATGAAAATAGATTTTAAAAGAAAAGACGAACATTCCAAAAGCTGCAATATCCCAGTACCACAACCCTTTTCTTTCTTTATTTCTTTCTATTTTGTTTCATTTTGTTCTGTTTTTATTTGTAATTTTTTTCTTTTTTTAAACTATTGTATTCTGAGAAGAAAAAAGCATGTTACAAACTTAATTCCCTCCTTCGCTTTATTTTCTTCTTTAAGAAAAAAAATTGAGAGAAAAAAAGGGAAAGCAGAACTAAAAGAGGAAAAATATTTAAAAGAGTTCTTCCGTGTCTAACTTCCCTTTGTCAGCTCGAACCAAATCTGAGAGACAGTCCTTAAAGAAGGGATACTGCAGCTTTATTTGCAACAGCTAATTTCAAAAGTTGAATAAGAATGTGATTTTTACCTTTTTTTTTTTAATTAAAGAAAGTTAAAAAACTAAAGTCAATATTTTGCAATTAGTAACCAGGTCATTGATTTATTCCCTTTTTTATTTTTATTTTTTTCTTATTTGTATCTTTCTCTTCCCCCCCTCCCTCCCTCTCTCTCTCTCTCTCTCTTTCTCTCTCTCTCTCCCTTTCTCCCACGTTCTCCTCCTCTGCTCGCTTCTCTCTTGAACTCATTCAGACCTGAGCGCTCCTAAGAAATGCCGAGCGCGCTTTGGCCTTGATCAACAGAATAACTGGTGCGGCCCTTGCAGGTGTGTATAGTTTTCCAGATTCGCTGTGCTGGTTTGCAGCTGGTCTATTCGATCCTCTCCCCCTTCTCTGGCCTGTTGCTTTGTAGCTCTGTGTGTGGATCTCAGGAGACACAGGGGAGTGGGACACTGCCAAGTGTATGGGCTCTATGAGGGATGTGCTTGTTCTCCTGCTGCTGCCAGCCAAAATGCCACTGTAAAACAGCATCACTCATGCCTCCTCGGGTCAGCGACAACAAACCTTAGCGCGCCCCCTCCCAGGCAATGTTACCTGCCAACCCCTGTCCCTTCCTTGTGACAGCCCAGGATCGGAATCCTGGCCTAGGTAGAAGCAAATGACGTCACCTTCTCCCCTCCTCTTCTCTCTCTCTTTTTATTTATTTATTTATTTTTTCATTGTTGTTTTTTGGTTTCTGGTTGTTGTTTTGTGTGTGTGTGTTTTATTGTTTTATTTTATTTTTTTTCTTTTGACTCATAGAAGTCCTTTCCTTTCATGTCCTTGGTGAGGGAAGATTATCAAGTAGAACCAAGGTGATAGAGAAGAAAAGGAAGCGGTAGCTGAGATTTCACATCCAACTGAGCACGACCCACCATTGTGTTGTATTTTTTGTGTTTACCTTATGCTAACAGATGCAAATACTCCAAAGAAGTGTCGGGCACTGTTCGGGCTTGACCGACAGACTTTATGGTGCAAACCGTGCAGGTATATTACCACTGCGAGGCCTTTGGGAAAATCAAAGCATTCTGTCCTTCCGGTACCTTAGCGTGATAATTTATTTTGACCTCGTTCCCATCTACCTCCCCTCTGGCATCAATGACTAATGATCCTCATTCTTCAAAATTTCCTTGCTAATTTTATGCCGTTTCCTCTCCCCACTTTCTCTTTCTCTCTTTCCCCGCTGCTCTCGTCAGTAACATCCCTGGTGGCAGGACTGAGACCACAGCCTTAACAAACAAGGAGGGGCACTTATCTTTTTGCTTTGAAAGCCAGCATCCTGGAGCTGGCCCGGCCCTATGAATGCCTCGGTGGCCCGGGTACTGAGCACAGAGAGCCACCCTTTCCAAAGGTTTGAATGAGTTAACACTTGGCAGCAATTGCATTCCCGTGCACTTAAGAGTCGAGACATATGGAGAAGGGTTCTGGGGTAGGCTTCTTCTTTCCCTTTTTCTTTTTCCTTTTTGGTTGTTTTATGTTTAAAAAACCACATGTCTGTACAGAGGAGCTTGGTTAGCTGACATTGTTTTACAGTGCTGAAAAAGAAGCGTGGCATTGAACGGCATGCACCAGCTAAAGGGCTGCAAGCAGTGAGTCATGCGGTCTGAGACTGCAGCGTCCCTAGGCCTGCAGAATTAACAAAATACGTGTATATATATAGCACTGGTTCCAAAACGAATCAGAATAGCCCAGAAGTGTCCAAATTAAGCACCCATGTTCCACCTGCAGGTCTCCATCCAGCCTGCATTCTCAGGGAAAGTGTAGGTACTTCCTTCTTGGTGGAGGGATACCGACTAGCTCCTGTCTCATTTCCTTTCCTTTAATGACCACCTTTGGTTAAATTTGTTGTTTCTTTGTTCTGATACAAGCAGTCTTTGAATTTGGAATATTATGATGGTAGGTATTTCAACACCCCAAACACGCTTCCCTGTTTGTAGTGCCTCCCTCGTCACGTGTCCCTCCCCTTCATGACTTTGCCATGTGCTCCGTGTTTAGACGTTAGATCAGATGTGCATCCCATTACGTGCATGCCCACGAGTCTCCTGTGTCTCTTCCCCCCTTTTCTGATGCCAATACGAGAGATCGGTGAAGTGCCTCATGTTGACCCCAGCACATTAGAGGAGAAAGGTCCTGAGAGTCGTCCCTGAGAGGGAGCCACACAGACAGCCCTCCGCCCATAGGAGAGGAATCCCCAGGCATTCTGTGAGATGGGAGTGTTCACAGAGCTGACAAATGTCCCTTTGACACAGTCCTGGGGTCTTCTCTGCACAGCAGAAAGGAGTTTTGTGACAAAGTTGATGGAGGAGGTTAGGTATTTAATGAGGACGAGCCAGGGAGGGCAGGGACTCTGTTGAGCAGTGAATTTGTCAACATTTTACTTGTACCAGGTGGGAAGATAACTAGCTGTGGAAGCCTGTTCTGAGATGCCCTGCCATGGCCAAATGACTGGTGAACCACAAGGGTCACTAAAAGAGAGGGTTTCTCATGATGTGTAGAAATATACAACTGACACTATTGTGTGTGCCTCACAGTAAGGCCGGTTCAGGTACCTGGTTGGTTTATTTTATTAATGGGGTGAGTGGTGGTTTATGAATCCTCTTTTTTTGTTTTGGAAGCAGTTGCTGCAAGTCAGACTTTTTGTTTCTTGAAGTTATTCCTAACATTGACCCAAACGCACGTCCCCCATTTGGACATAGCTTACACCTTGCTTACAGCTTGGGTGTATCTTCAGAGCCCAGAATTTTATTGATATATTAAAAAAAAAAAAAAAAATCTGCCAACCCAAAACGTTTGTAGCTGCTTCCTGTTTGAGCAGCATGGTTTTCTAAAATGCATCTTGGAGGGGCTGTCAGTGTGGCAGATGCTGAGCTCCTGGTCCTAGGTGCCAGAGTTCCCCAGGTCCCCGTCTCCACCTGGTTTTCTTTCCAGTCTCAGCAGTGTTCAGACTTTCCCGGCAGACGTTTGTCTTCGTTGGTGACTTTTCCATACCATGGAATGATGAGCAAATGCATTTCTGCTGTCTTTGAGGGACGTTATTCCAAAACAGGATCAGGAAAAACCTTGAGTTTCCTTCCAGAAGAAATAAGAAGCTAGAAAGGGGTTTTTAAGAGGCCACTCTGAATCGAGGTGAAGCCTAGGTTGGGAGTGCTAAGAGTATGGGTTACCTTCTCCCTTTTGCTCAACTTTTCCTTTTAACGTGGCTGTGGCCACCCCTGGCTTGATGCTGAAACCCAAGGACAAAATGTACTTTAAAAAAAAAAAAAGGGAAAAAAAAAGAAAAAAAGTTGCCAACTGAGGCATTTTCTGACTTGTCAGAAGTGTGTGTGCGTGCCAGCTGCCCTGTGCTCAGCCACCTTAGAAGACCCATCGCTCTGTCGCCATAGTCTTCATGTCCCGTGTTGCAGATGCCCCTCTCATTCCTGTGATCTGGAAACTTCCACGTCATGAGGGTGGGAGGGGTGAGGAAAGTACCAGAACGCTCCTAGCCAATCAGGGCTCCTAGCTTGCCACACAAGGTTTCTAGTTTTATTTGACATTTGTGGACATTTTAACAAGATGCTGTTTTGAGCCCACCAAGTTGCTTTTCCCATCTTTTCACTCTGCCCTAATATAGCATGGAATGCTGCTTGGTGCCGTTCCCTTGTCTTCCTGGTTGTTCTCCCCACTTCTTTCCTTCTCCCTTTCCTTTCCTCTCTCTGTTTTTCTCTGTTGCTTTCTCAGTTTTGCTTATGCGCCCCCCCCCCACCTCCTTTCCTTCTCCCATTTTTAAAATGCATGGACATCTTAGTTTTTTGAGCATGTTTTGATCTGCAGGCTAAGGTGGTTTAAAACTCTGAGAGGCTTAATTATTTATCTTGGTTTCTGGGATGGAAGCAGAACCCATAGTCTATTTACTCTCTCCCAGGGAGAAAAAGGAACCTTGCCAAATTGAGGGTGACAGGGGGTGGTGCTTGCTCCCCTAGAGTTCCTTCTGACCCAGAGGGAACAGACAGACACCTGAGGCCACTAGCCCCCATGAATCTCAGCCTCTGGGAGGCAGGGAGGACTGAGCATGCTCCCTTAAACCCCTCCCCTCCTTCCCTGCCTTCCTGCCATCTTGCTGAGTCCAAACCCCATGCACACAGGGGCAGGATCAGACAGCTCTGGGGCACAGACCGAGAGGAGGAACTCAGCACACCCTTCCTTTCCAAGGCCAGTGACATTGTCTGACAGTGGTTGCCTTCAAGCAGGCAGCATCTTGGTTGCTTCCAGCAGCAGAAAGCTGGCCAGCGCTTACACACGTGTTTCTGGTTGGAGTGTTATCAGCCATGGTTCTGACAATATTCTAGGGTCCTTAGATGAGCACACTTCCTGTATCTGCATTATTTTTATAGCATTAGTGGGGTTGATCCCCAGGCTCACCTTTGCTTACCAAATACCATCCCATCAGACTGGGATTAATGGGAGGAGAAGCTTTGAAGTCACATGCTCAATTTCTTGAGTTGATTTTCCCCGACCTCATCCTTTGATGCTAAGCAAGAAAGGTTCTGAAATTCTCATTCCTATTTCTTACATGAATGAGTAGTGAAGAGGGGAGATGCTGGTTTTGGTGTAGGGCAAAATTAGTCTTTCTGGTTTAAACACGCACGATAACCCAAACCCAGGAAGGTCCATGCTGCGATTCCCTGGCACTTCTTCTTTGTTGTCACTTTGGTGACCGGCTTGTGCTGCACCCTCCATTGACTGGCCTCGGCATATTGACAAGGGCAGGATGCCCCTCCATCCATCCCATCCTCACCATCTCTCCTTCCAACCTTCTCACTACGGGGTGGGGGAGGGGAAAGCCCCAAATCTTAAAAAAAAAAAAAGTAAAAAAAATCAAGTTTGAATCTTAATTTAATCCACAACCTGCAGGCCATACAACCAGTTATTCTTGTTCCTTTGAATCATTTTCTGTTTTTCTTATTCTTCCCCTTCCCCCACCTTTGTTTATCCTCTTCTACCTGTTTTTGGTGATTTCTTTTTTTTGTTTGTTTTTTGTTTTTTTTTTTTGTTTTTTTTTTAAAGTTTATTTTGTTTTATTTTTGTTTCCCTTCCTCCCTTCTCACCTGATTCTGACCTCTCTTGATTTGGTGTGGTTCTTAACAGACAAGCCCGAAAGCTCTCTGGGCGCCAGCAGCCTCATGGTGGTGGTGTGTTAAAACCTTTAAGCCTCTTGCTAGCGCTGCCTTCAGCTATGTGGGCTCAACAGTGAGCATTTTGAGAGTTTCATATTGATACGAGGCGGCTGGGGAAGGAGCTCTGTCTTTCTCTTTTAAACACACACACACTCACACACAGACATCACTGGGGGATGGGGGTGGTAGTGGTGGGAATGGGGTTGAAGGGCCGAGGAAACTTGATGGGAAAGTGAGGGACTGTCTAAGCCAAAAGAGCTTTTCAGTTCATGTCAATTTGGACAAAGCCACTTGCTGGCAAATAGATGCCACTGTCTGCAGGTGGCCACCTCCATGCTGCTCTCGTACATTTGGGCAGGGTGGGGCCGTGGGTGTTTAGTAGGGGTTGGGGGAAGCAGGTAGAGAGTTCAGACTCTTTAAATATGTGGTTTACCAGAACAGGCTTAGATCTGGGCACCGTGAAGTGAGCGACCCAGCCCCGGGGGGGCGCCACCGTAATTGTCCTCAGACCATTGGGCATGACACCTCTGTGTGACATCCCTTAGGTGACCTCAGCTTGGGTGTGAGCATTAGGTAACTCTCTCCCTTGGCATCTGTGCCCTCTATTCACAGATAACTCTCTCCCCTGTTTCTAGGAGAAAAAAAAAGTGCGTTCGCTACATACAAGGTGAAGGCAGCTGCCTCAGCCCACCCTCTTCAGATGGAAGCTTACTAGATTCGCCTCCCCCCTCCCCCAACCTGCTAGGCTCCCCTCCCCGAGACGCCAAGTCACAGACTGAGCAGACCCAGCCTCTGTCGCTGTCCCTGAAGCCCGACCCCCTGGCCCACCTGTCCATGATGCCTCCGCCGCCCGCCCTCCTGCTCGCCGAGGCCACCCACAAGGCCTCCGCCCTCTGTCCCAATGGGGCCCTGGACCTGCCCCCAACCGCTTTGCAGCCTGCCGCCCCCTCCTCATCAGTTGCACAGCCGTCGACTTCTTCCTTACATTCCCACAGCTCCCTGGCCGGGACCCAGCCCCAGCCGCTGTCGCTCGTCACCAAGTCTTTAGAATAGCTTTAGCGTCGTGAACCCCAGTTGCTTTGTTTATGGTTTTGTTTCACTTTTCTTTATTTGGCCCCCCTCCCCCCCACCTTGAAAGGTTTTGTTTTGTACTCTCTTAATTTTGTGCCACGTGGCTACATTAGTTGATGTTTATCGAGTTCATTGGTCAATATTTGACCCATTCTTATTTCAATTTCTCCTTTTAAATATGTAGATGAGAGAAGAACCTCATGATTCTACCAAAATTTTTATCAACAGCTGTTTAAAGTCTTTGTAGCGTTTAAAAAATATATATATATACATAACTGTTATGTAGTTCGGATAGCTTAGTTTTAAAAGACTGATTAAAAAACAAAAAGAAAAAAAAAGAAGCAATTTTGAAGCAGCCCTCCAGAAGGAGTTGGTTCTGTATTATTTGTATTAAATACGAGCTTGCGAACCAATCATTTTACATCTGGTTTTTAAACCGTAAGGGCACCACGAATGCAGTGCCATTACTTTTTTGTTTTTTTTTTCTGTGTGAAACAACTTTTATTGTGATGTTACTTGTTATTGTTTAAATGTACAGAAACAAAGGGTAAAAATGTGTTAATATACCTTGTTCCATGGTGGTGTTCTTTTGGGGGGAGGGGATGCTACTCAACACTTAATAGAATCACAATGCTGTTGGGCCAGTAGTATTTATTGCTTTAGAGATTGCTTGTCGTACCTGTATGTCGTCCCTTTTTAAATATGTTTTCCTTTTTCTTGAAACTGTATAAAGTTTTTTTTCCCCCTTAGCATAAGCATCTTATATATAACAACTCATTTGTACAAGGTTTTTAAGTTTATATATAAAATGTGTATATATATTTTTGTTTCCCTTTTTGACTTTTTTTTTTTTTTTTTTTTTTTTGCTGTATGAAACCCAGTTGTCACCAAATGGACATTAATAGTTGCATTAAGGATCAGTAGCATTAACAAAAGTTGCTTTAAAAGCCATTATGTGAAACAAGACTTGAAAATGAGTGAGGGAATTTTAGCGACACTGTCTGAGCAGCAGTGGGAACCATCTTTTTCCCCTTTGAACTCCCAGTGGGATGCCCTACCCTGCGCCCTTAGGGCCTGGACTGACCGTGTGCAGAACTTTACGTGCCAAAATTCTCAGTGAATTTAGCTTTCTCCCTCTTTTTGATGCTGTAATTTTTGTTCATCATGTTTTGCTGTGATGTTACATAGGTAGATTTGTATGTAGTTTTAATGTCACCTATAACAAAATGTGTTTGGTAGCAGATTGTCCAGAAAGCATTTTAAATGAAGAGGTATAAACCCTTAAGGGCCAAAATTCTGTATATTAGATTACTCTTACACGAAAAACCGGCTGCCGCTTTTATGTACACATATTACATACGAGTAGGCAGCAGACTTTAAAACTAAAAAAAATCTAGGCATGTTGATGTTGCAGACTGCTGTATAAAGCTGAAACCTGTTCATTCAGTGCCATTGTAGTTGACATGAAGCGATTGTAAACCTGTCTCCGATTTTTCTCTGGTTTATTAAAATGCTAACTATAACATTTTTTGTGAATACTTTGAATGTTTCCTAACAGTTGTGATGTTACTGTTCCGTTTTATGCTCTTATTCCAAGTTCATTTTTAATGGTTTGGAAGCCATTTTTGTAATGAATAAATGTTCATGCTGTACAGTATCTGTAGCATGCCGTTCTGGATTAATAAAAGCAACTTAGTCTGTGCAGATAAAGGCTGGTCACTTGTTTCTGTGATTTGGATTTTTATCTCTAGGGAAACTGGACCTACCGTAAGCAAGAAAAACATATTCCCAAGTTGGAACTTGACCATACAGTTAGTGTGTAGGTGATGACTTAGGTACCAGAATGTGGTCTTGGACTCTTATGAGGGGTTGCTCCCCCCCCTCCATCCTCGTGGCCCATTTGGTGCACCTTGTGTATCTGGTTTGCGTAATGTGTCATTTGCAATGAAGATGGTCAGTATCAAACGGGATCCTTGGCGTGTGTCTTCTCCTGTAGTATTTCACTGTGCCATCCCCAGTAGTTTATTGCTGAAAGCAAAGCACAGTTACAGAGTAAATGTCACTTTTTGGGGGGCTATACACCAGTTTCTCTGACATATCCTACTCATCCTCTCACAGTATCAAGCAGAAAGAATTTAATTCTGGTGAATGAGACTTAGTCCACCAAGAGTGCACTTAAGAAACCACCTCCTTAGCAGTGAAGGATCATGGATGTGACAGCATCCTAACCTCCAAGAGTTGCGTGCAGGGAGAGATGCAAGGGTGTCAAACTGCCCTTTTCTAGCAATGAGCCATTATTGAGTAAGCAGCTTTTTAGAAAATTGGATTAAGGTGATGCACTGAAAGGTGTGTGTGGAAGCGCCTTGCTGTGTGTGGGATCCAAGTGTTTTGGCTGTACCCTGGTAAGAGCACAAGTTCATCACCATCACTGAGCAGGGGCCACGATACAGCTCTTCCTACAGTTTCCCCTGGATTTCATTTCCCTTGCTGACTAGCTGGATGGATGGACACATTGTTCCATTTATCTAGGACATCTATACCTTAAAGGATGATGATTTCAATGGGCATGGAACTGTTCGTGTTGCCGTTGTGGTTACTTAAGGTGAGCACAGTGTAGCATCAAGGACTTAAAAGCCCCTCGGAAACTGCTTTGCTCAAGCAAGTTTTTGTTCTGTAAAATCTCAGCATTTTGTTTTTGCTTTGCTTTGTATTCCCAGGGAGGAGTGTTTCTGGTTGTCCTTCCTCATTTTATTTTGCACACTGGGCCGAGTGACCTTTGAAAACACAAATAAGAACAGTATCTGTTATTCGTGGCAGTGTGCCAAGCCGTTTATGTGCATTTTCTCATTTAATCCGAACACTACCACCTAAGGTAGACATTCTTCTCCCCTGCCACCCTCTGCTTCATTTTCTGAAAATGGATTTAGGAACTGAGGGTTTTAGGTCCCTTGTCTAAGGCCACACAGGAGGTGGTGGCGCTGGGATTTAAATTCAGATCTGACTCCGGGCTCCTGCTCATAACACGAAGTTCTGCCGCCTCACATAATACAGACGGCCCTTCCCCTCCAAAACACAAGTGAGGGAACCGTCCTTTGAGAGGATTTTCTTGATTGCCCCACCTTCTCTGCCTCACACACTCGCTCGCTCTCTTTCCTCTCTAGCTGTACTACAGAGTTAAGCTTACCTAAAAGCGTTTTTGCTCTTTCTGCCTGGAAAACAACCCCTCATGCTTCAGGTCTTGGCGAAGACATCCCTTTGTTGGGGGAGATGGTCCAGAGCCCTCGAGGGTTGCCCGTCTCCCTCCTGTGTGGTCTTTCAGGCCTCTGTCTTCTGGTCTCCTTTGACTCACTCACTATCATCGTGAAAGTGGCTGTCGTCTGCTTAGGTCACTCCAGCCTCACCGTGTTTCTCAACCTCAGAACTCATGACATTTTGGGCCAGATAATTGTTAGCTGTGAGGGCCTGACCTCTGCATTGTTGGATGTTAACACCCCTGGCCTCCACCCACTAGATAACCTGTCAGCCCTTGCCCTCCCACCAGTCGTGACAGTCAGAAACATCTCCAGATATCGCCAGATGTCCCCTGGGAGGCAAAATCACCCCCAGTTGAAAACCATTTCTCTAGAGAGCCCTCCAGGATGACAGGATTGTGACTCGTGTCCCTGCTGTATGCTAGGGTCTTGGTTTAGTGCCGGACACACAGTGGGGTGCTCGATATACATTTTTTGAAGGAAAGAAGGAATGAGATTGGCCAACTCAACACCCGTATTGTGGGAGGCAGCAAAATGGAAACTTTCCATGAGGCTTCCAAATTTTGTGTTCTCACAACTTTCAGGGTGGTGCTGACCTTCTTAATCCTTTCGGCCATGCTGGGATGTAACTCACTGCCCTTGTTACAAAGGTCAGAAAAAACGGCAGGGGGGTCAGTCCCTCTGCTGTCAGCCAGCGGAGTGCCGATCTCTCCAAAATTCAAAATAGAGGTCACCGAGTCACACGCTTGCCTGCCTTAACAACACCTGGTTGATACTTGGAGGATCCTTCCACCCAAGACAACTTCCTTTCCCCCAGGCCTGTGTTCTCAGCAGCCCGAGCTCTGGTCTCCCAAATGCCCAGCCAAGTCTTTGCCCTTCAGCGCTTCCTCTCTCTGATTTTCTTCCTACCTCAAGAGTTTCTTTTCAAACTGAGCATCCTCTGATTTCATCTGTAAGAGTGGATCTGCGGGTTTTTCATTACTAAGAGACTCTGAAACAACGTCTGGAAAACGGTAACTGTCACTCGCCGAGCCACATCACTTTCGGCTTCTTACGGGGCTTCGCCAAAGATGTTTGCATATTAGTAGGGCGTACGTTTCCTGTGGTGGCTGTAATGAATCACCACAAATGTGGTGGTTTAAAACAACAGAAATTTGCTCTCGCACAGCCTTGCAAACCAGAAGTCTGAAATCAAAGTGATGGCAGGGCCGAGCTTCCTCCAAGGCTCCGGAGGCTCATCTGTTCCGTGTCTGTTTCAGCTTCCAGTGGCTGCCTGTAATCCTTGGCATTCTGTGGATTGAAGCCACATCACTCCAATCTCTGCTTCCATCTTCACATCGCTTTCTCCTCTTGTCTGTCCCCAGACTCCCTCTGCCTCTCTCTTACAAGGATACCTGTTTTGTGTTTTGGGCCTACCTAGATAATCCTGGATAAATATCCCTTCTCTTTAGATCTTTAAGTTAATCACATATTTTGCTATATAAAGCAATACAAGTTTTAATAGGATTTGCATATGGGCATGTATTTTTGGGGGGGCCACCATTCAGCTCACTACAGAATCATTTGCCAACTGCGGAGTCTTAGCACAGAACTCTTCAGAATGGGCAGTCATTCCACTATTGGTGGTGGTCTTGGACAGGCCCATGTGGAAAGCAATTTTTTCAGTGGATGGCTTTTCGTTTCAGATATAAAAACGTTCATTTTTTTTCCTGATGACATGGATTCATGTAGGGTCAGAGAGCCCTGCATCTGGATGCAGGATTTTCGAGAAAGTAAGTAGCTTGGAGCAGTGGAGTGAATCTGAGCTTGGAGGATCCCACATCTGACTCTTGCTGTGTGTCCTTGGGTAATTCCTTTATCTCTCTGAGTCTTTGTTTCTTCAGCTAACGAGTGATGATGTTGGTGTTCATCTGGACAGATTTGTATGACGGCTAAGATGCAAAGTTGCTAGACTAGTATGTCATAGGGTTTATTATTAATATAAAAGCCAAAGGCCAGTCTTCTATTTGTTTTCATTATTTCTCTTTTTTTTTTTTTTCTGAGACGGAGTCTCATGCTGTCGCCAAGGCTGGAGAGTGTATGGAGTGCAGTGGCACAATCTCGGCTCACTGTAATCTCCTTCCAGTTTCAAACGATTCTCCTGCCTCAGCCTCCTGAGTAGCTGGGACTACAGGCGTGTGCCACCACACCCGGCCAATTTTTGTATTTTTAGTAGAGATGGGGTTTCACCATGTTGACCACGCTGGTCTTGAACTCCTGACCTCAGAAGATCTGCCCGCCTGGGCCTCCCAAAGTGCTGGGATTATTGTTTTCATTATTTCTCTTTGAGATTCTGCTGGTTAGTCCAGTTCTTCACACCCAAGTGACAGAATCACAAAGATCTAGATGCGGAAGACACATCTACATGACCCAGGGACAGACATTGTGACTCATCCACACTCGTTCATTTTACCTACAACTTAATGGCCTTAGGAAAATGACTGCTAGTCTCTGGGGAGCCGCAGCCCTGTCTGGGTTGCTTTTTGTGGTATAGAAATGTGTTTTCAATTAAAGCCCTTTGCAAAGAAACTGAGGAGTAGCCTAAAAGCCTCTTGTGAACGTTGCCTGAGGCAAGTGCCACAAACCAGAGCTGGGAATCACCAATGAGCAGGGCCACAGATTGGATTTTCGAAAGGATTCCTATCTGGGGTTGGCTTCTTTGTCACCCGTTCCGTATCTGCTTCCGCACTCCCAGGCACCTGGCCATCGGGGAGTCCTGCTGCGAACTCTGGCCTGTGTCCGATGGGCAACACTGGTGACTTCTGGCTCTGAAGCTGGGTTTCTTTAAAGATGGCACCTCGTGGGTACACTTGATGGGAGCTGTAAGTACTTTCCTTCATTCAGTAACCATTTCTGCTTACACCTGGGACTGTTCTAGCAACTGGCATGTAAGTCTGGGTGAAGCCAGCTTGGTCTCCAGTTTTCCTGGGTTTATTTCTACACCATCTTATAGGCTGGAGTTTCTAAGGAAAGGGAATGCCAACATTCCTGAGGCCTGGACAAGCCTCTCACCTAGAAAGAAGTTTTAGGTAAGGATAATAACAAAAGAATTTGCTGAAAACTCAACTTACATTTCTCTTTTAATACTCATGGGGATGGAAATTGCTTTTATGTTCATTTTACAGATGTAGAAAGTGACACTAAGAGAGGTTAAGTTGCTTCCCCAAAAACGTATCTGGGAAGCAGAGAGCCTTAGATTTGAACCTAGGCAGGCTGACTTAGGAGCCTGCATAGCTAAATACCATGTTATATTTCTTATTATAAAGACAGCTCATCAGGGTAACTAGGGAGTGGTGGAAGGTAGAGCTAATTTGATCCACGGCCTTGTGAGAGGGTGTTGCTATGGGACCGCCAGGCACTCTTTCTGCCTGTCAGTGCGCAGAAGTTTTCTTTTCTTACTCTGGTGTCTGTGCGTGTAAT